GATTTTTTTATTTCCTTTTACATGTACTAGATTAGAATAATAGAGTCATAGAATTGCTCAGGTTGGAAAAGACCTTAAAGATCATTGAATCCAACCTCAACCTAACCATACTACCCTAATTAACAACCTGCTGCTAAATCATGTCCCTGAGCACCACATCCAAACGGTTTTTAAACACATCCAGGGATGGTGGCTCAACCATCATCAAGCATATAAAAATTATTTACATAGTATTTGTACTATGGTACAAATTATTTACATAGTATATGTGCTATGTATTTGTACCTGTATCTAGGTAACTAGATACAGATGTGTGTGTGTTATTTGTAAAACAGATATCAATTTTTCTTATATACTTTTATGTCCACACAACTATAAATGTTATCGTGGCTTGCATCGGAAGTAGGAGGGGCAGCAGGACACAGGAAAGTGATTGTCCTTCTACACTTGGCATTGGTGAGATCGCATCTCAAGTACAGCATTCAGTTTTGGGTCCCTCACTACAAGAATATTAAGTTGCTTGAGTATCAGCAACAAAGCTTTTGAAGGAACTGGTAAACAAGACACGTAATGAGTGACCGAGGAAAATAGGGACTGTTTAGTCTTGGAGATGAGAAAGCTGAGGGGAGAGAACCTTGTTGCTCTCTACAGCTGTCTGAAAGAAGGTTGCAGAAAGGAGGATATTGGTCTCTTTTTTCAGGTCACAAATGAAAGGAGATGAGGAAGAACCTCAAGTTGCAAAAGAGGAGGTTTAGACTGAATATTAGGCTCCACAGAGAAATTGGTCAAGCACTGGAAGGTGATGCGCAGGGTCACCATCCTTAGAGGTATTTAAGACAGTGATGGGACTTGGTAGTATCAGGTAGATTGTTGTGCTTGATCTTTGGGGTCTTTTTCAAGCTAAATGATTCTATGATCCTGATTCTATATTGTGTCTTACATACATAAATTTACTATGGCTTTTTTTTTTTTTTTTTTTTTTTTTTTTTTTTTTTTTTTGCATATACACATGCTTAGACAGACTAATTCAGGTCATAAAATGAGACTTCTTTTTCCTTGCTTAAATTTTAGAGCCATTTTTAACATTGTAGAGTTAACAGAACAATGCTAATATTTTAGGACCATTTGTTTTCTTGCCATATTTACAATGTCATTACGCTTCACTAAATGTCTAACTGAATGGAAATATATGATTTAAGAAAAAGATTCATGTATTACAAGATGTTTTAGGTTTTAGGAGGAAGGAAAATGAATGATACATATTTTGGTTCAACAATAAAAAATCCCTTTGTGCCACAGATCCTACTGACAGCTCATTAAGAGGTCTCTCACAAAGATACCTCCTATGGGAAGCTAAAAGTGTAGTGGAACAATACAAAACATTAGATTAAGTGGAAAGTTTGTTGAGATAGTGGGGTGTTTTTTTGTTTTGTTTGTTTGTTTGTTTTAATTAGGAAGGAAATAATATGTATTGCTGTTTTCTATTACAAATGCTATTACCTGAAACTAGAGTGGCTTAAAAAAAGAAAGATATGAATAAACAAAATAAAAACTATTCATTCTGTGGATTCTGCATTAGTAAACATTTTTTTTGCGTGTGTGCATCATTAGAATATAGATTAAACTCGTTTTAGTGTTGAAGGTACAGCTCACCAAAGTAATTATGAATGGGATAGCATATGTAGTAGGCTTCACTTCTTGACGATAGGCTTCATTGTAGGTAGTTTTCTAGTCTGAATGTCCTGGGGTGGTTGTTGCAGAGAATAGGTAATGAATTTCACTGTGAAATGTGTTTTGAAATACTTAATCTTATGCGTGTTGTTTTCCTTCCACTCCTAAAGGAACATATGCTTTCTAGAGGAAAGTACCTTCCTATCTCCAGCTATTGAAAAGAAGCTTCCTTTCTTTTTTTCTTTTTTTTTTTTTTTTTTGTGTCTTTTTTACAGTGAAGGTAGCTCACATAGCTTTCTAAGTATGACCTCAGCTAGGTCCCCCACATAGAGATGACACAAGCATGAGGGAATAAACAGTAATTAATGCAAGTAAATGAAATTTTCAATAGACTAAAATACCTAAATAGCATTTTGTACTGTGGTGACTGATGTAATAATAGACACTGCAGAGTTATTGTTAAGAAGCACCAAGTGTTATTCTGATGGAGAATTTTTACCTCAAACTGGTTGAGGAAAGGGTCCACCATTTAGGATATAGTTTGAAAATATGTCCCTGTGCATGTGTGTGACTAACAGCAAATAGTAAGTGAAGTGTTCATCCCAAACCAGAATAGATGCAATTCTAGAGCTTCAGTTTTGGTATTTTCTCACCCTGTTGACCCTGTTGTCTCCTATGATAAATTCACATGCTTGTTCGTTTTCTCGGGGAGGCAAACCAAACTATAATAGAAAGCTTCATTAATATTAATTCTAATGGATTCCACTTACTAGAGTACGAAGTACAAAGGAGGTGTTATAATATTAAATACTTTCGTGAGTAGAATAAATATTTTATAAACAAGCATAAGAATTGCTGCATTATTTATACTGCATAATTCATAAATTTTGTCTCTAAATTTTCATATGACAATAAAATGTATGTATAATGTATGTATAAAATGTATCCTTAGCATACGTAGTTTGAAGGCAAACAATTTCAGAAATAATGCACAGGTTTCATACTTCTTACCTGTATATTTTCATTTCATTTCTCTTCTCTTAAACCTGACCTTTTAAGTACAATGACTCCAGTTGCATTAGAAAATTACCACACTTTAAGGAAATAGCCTTACAGTATTGAAATATCAAGAGTCACTCATTTCTAGTTTTCCATACTAGACCAGAAGAGTAAAAATACTGGACCTTAAACCCATAAGTTGATAGAATTGAAGGCATATCATTTTATACCTTACATTAATAAACATTTAATTGTGATTATATAATAGAGAAGAAGGGGAAAATATTTTAAACGTAATATGAAAAGTTTTGCTGAAATTACTCAGTGTAGTGTTGGTAAATCAGTGCTGTACAGCAAAGATGAATTAGTTTACAGTGTGCAGATGCAGCAGTCAAAAGTGTACAGTAGTCCACCTTTTCACAGAAAAGGACAACGTTATCTGAAATCATCAGATATACAATGTGCATATATGTATGAAAGTTAAAATGTGCAAAAATGTGTAAGTTTACACATTAATAAACATGCATTTGTTTGAACTATTTTTGAGAGTTGAGTATGTATGAACATTGAAGCTAAAATTAATGAGTATTAAGGTAATGTTAAAGAAAGATGCGTAAAACAGCTAATGAATAAAATTGTTGATGTATGTTTTCTTGTGCTATTTTTTATTTACAAAAATGTCATGATAACATAATGTGGGCTGTGTTTTTCTTACAAAATTCAGTATCAAAAATGATGTTAAAAATCCACCTAAGCATTGTCTGTGAATTGACCACAAATTTTCTTTGCATGGAAATGTTCTTTTCAAAAGTAGCTACTTCATATGAAGTAAAATTTCTTTTAAAAACCATCAAAAAGCATTATAAAATGCTTTCAATGTTTTAAGGTTCTGAATCTGAAGAAGGGAAATCTGAGACAAGCAAGCTAAGGATTTGCCAGCATAGAATGGGGAGTTTTGCATAAAATTCGAGATTTGATCTTTTTGTTCCCACTGACAGCATAATTCACTTTTAAAGCACTGGAATTTTAAAGTCATTTTAAATATTAAAAAACTGTTACAAATCAGAATGTGAAGTGCATTAGCAGTATATTTCACAGATAGGTATGTGCCTGTGGCTGATGTTAAAAATACTGAAAATGGGCACATTTTTATTTGCTGCATAAATAAGTTATAATATATAGTCAATATAAAAATTCATTGTAAATTATAGTAGCAAAGTCATTCTAAAAACACATCTTGCAGTATGTTGCATTTTTCAAATGTGATTTTTCTTCTATTAGAAATAATTGAACACCAAAATACTGTCCGTTCAGAACTCTGTTAGTTCTGAGTATCAGGTTCTCTGATCTGAATTGGTAAATAGTCACAGAATTAAAGTTGGTCAGTAATTATTTTGAGAGATAATGCAGCTCAGCTATAATGAGGCTGAACATTGTGTGTATTGTTACGTATTCTGTCAATGATGGAAAGAAATTATTAGGAGAGTTAGTCTGTTACTCATTGTTTTTTTTAAGTTGGCAGTCAGAATGGATTGAGCCAGATGTCTAAAATGCACTTGTAGAAATTTTTGAATATTTTGGCTGTTCGTTCCCACTAAATTGAGATCTGCAGAAATGTCAGATTGCCTACTAGTAAGGGTTGCTTTTAAAGAAGCATGCTGTATGTTAGGCTCTGCAAAAGCACATGAAAAAAACTGATGAAAAAGGAAGGAAAATAATGCTTAATGCTAAAAAGGGTCTTTCAGATTTCTAACAACATATAGCTTTTTTTTCCATAAAGTTTTTCATTGCTATGGTTATTTGCTGTGATAAACAAGTCTGAGAGACCATGAAAAATTTATCAGTTTCATAAGTATATTCTTCCTTATAATTTATAAACTTTACTTTTTTTAGTGTGTCTATCCATAAAAAGTTTTAATTTGAGTAATTTGGAAGAGAAAATCCTACTTTCCTTTCTTGCAAATCATTTGCTTTATGGAGAACTCATTTTAAAGTTAGCCATGGAGCTACAATTATTTATCCAAAGTTATCTGACTATTTGGCAATGCTTCAGAGTTCTCTTCTGCAGAACACAGTACGGCACACATAAGTGTCGTAGTGTTTGGTTGTTCTCAGCACCTCATCAGTCAGAAGAGGTAACAATACTTTCAGTTTTTCTTTGTGAATGTCAGTTGAGTCACATTTTTGTTCTCTCAGATCAGCTTGCTTGAATGATGGTAATAACATTCATCTTATTAATATGGTATAATTTAAATATACCGTAGCAGTTTTAGAAATTCTGTTCCATTTAGCAGAATCTCTGTTGCCCCCTTTTTCAGATGACGGTTGCTGCTGGTACGAGCATTGAGAATAACATTCAAAGGACCATATCCTGCCCTAATGTATGTTTTACATATTTCGGATTTCTGTGTAATTTAAACGCAAATCCTCCTTTTGTGACTGATATTTTATTGCCCAGAGATGCCTGTCATCTTGAGGTTACTTCATACTGTATGTTATATATATATTTCAGGGTCATTTAATATTGTACTACAAGTGAGGTCTTAGCCTATCAAAATGCTGAATTGGTGTCATTTTTTTCCTGTATGGTTTGATGGCACTGCTAAATAAAGACAATGATAATGCATTCACAGATCCTTCTGAATTTACCTTGCTTCCCTCTCAGCTCAATGCTCTTGTCAGTTGAAATCAGCAGAACAGCAGTAAACAAAATGAGGAAAGCAATGAGAGGCTATATTTATTCCACTTAATCTTGTTCTAAATTGGATTTTAATATGAAGATGTGTAATACTAAATTTGGAAGAAAGGTAATTTCATTTTTCTTGCTTAAACAAATATATCCCATGACTGAATGCAGAAAAGGGGAGTTACTACTGCAGATGAAAGTAAAGCAAGAATCTATTTTGTTAACAGGAGAAGCAATTTATTCACTTGTAGTATAATAGGTCATATATCTTTTTTACTATACCTAGTCAGTAAATTGAAAGTCACTGAACCAAAATTGAGCTTATATACATGAATGGGGAAATGTTAGCTGGAATTTGGGATGTACTGTTGAGAAAAGAATTTGGTTCTGTGTTACAGAGAAACTACTTTCTATCATGTAACGTGTTTAATCATTTACTTTTCAGCTAAAAATAATCTTTTTCATCAGGGAGCTATCAGAAGTTCTGGATAAACATTTCCATCACTTTTAAAATATAACTAACAATTGAACTATGAGTACAATACAGTTAAAGTTACTAATACCTAAGAAAAAAGGTACTGTGATTCAACATCGGAGGAATGAAGTATGTTCTTGCCAATCTGGAAAATGAAGAAAAAAAAAAAAAAAAGTAGAACAACCTTTTTCTCCTGAGATGTTCGTGGTCCTAAGGGAACTTCAAGAAATTATTTCTGCTGTAGTGAAAGAAAATTATACATTTGAAATCTTGAATCTTTGTGGATTTTGTAGATATACCCCTTGAATGGACCAATACTGTAACTTCTTGACTATGATTTGTACTGCTAGAAGGAGCATGGTGGTGGTGTGACAGCAGTTGGACAAGGTGATCTTAGCAGTCTTTTCCAACCTTAATGATCCTATGATTCCACATTCACAATTACCTCTAAGCAGAGGAAAAGTGTGATTTTATGCATGACTAATCCCCAGTCTTTTCCAGATTTCAAACATTATTTTAACTTTGGCAGGGCAATTTTAGTATTTCAGTCTGCAAATAGAAATATTTATGATGAGAGATAACAGTTCACAAGCATGAAAAAATGCAGAATTTCGGATTTAGTTCCAGGATTCTGTACCATTTCTTAAAAAAATAAATAAAAAACAACAACAACTTTTTTTGTCTTTCAATTTGTTTTCTTAAAAAAAAAAACCAAAAACAAACCCAAAACATTAAGACAGGTTCTAAATAGATATTTTCTTAAAAGAATGGCATGCATGGATTACCGCTTCATTCTTTGGATTATATTCAGTAACACTAAAATAAGCACATAATCCATTAACTGCTGTTTTGAACAAGAATGACCTTGTTCCTGCCTTTAGAAATCAAAAGCTTTTTAAAATTATTTTAGTTTGTTCTCTTTGGACTTTATGATGATTTTTTTTTTTTCTTTTTTGTCAAAAAAAAAAGGATGGAAGATAAAATTTAGAATTTATCATTTCTGACTCCATCTCCTGATTTACCTGTCTAAAGTTTAATGTCAAATTTATTGTAGCTATCTCTGCTCTAGAGGCAGTGGAGGTTAGAGTTAGTTATCACCTGTCAGCTCATGAGGATATCAGTCTTTGTCCATTGACTGAAAAGGGCACCCTAAGAACTCATCTTGGCTTAGACACCTTGCTTATACAGGTGATTAAAATCATGTAATACAAACTCTGCTTTCCTAGTTTAAGATGTTGTTTAGAACAAAAATTACCTCACCAGACTGCAGCCTCCTAAAATCTTCATGTTCAGTTAAACTATGATACAGCTTCTTTCAATGGAGAAAACAAGGTATATGCTGTTAACATGACATGGAGGAATTCTGACTGAGGGGTCTTCTCTTGATTTAGGCAGTAAGTTGAGTGTATAGATTAGACTAGACATTAAAGACCATTCTCACAGCTGAATCTTGGAAAAAAGATATAATTCATGTAACAGTGAAATTGAAATCTTGAAATTCATTGAAAGAATAGGCATAGGCTCCAATATTTTCTTCTGAATTCTCTCCACAAACTGCAAAGAAATATTAAGAGGACTTTAACAAGAAGCTTATTTCCTGTTCTAGATTTCACTAGAACACTAAAATCAAAATCTTTCATATTTAAAACTATTATTTATTTTCTTCTGTGGAGAAAACCAGTTCAGTCATAAAGGGTGTGAAACAAGCTCTTTCCATTGTCGTTTATTTATATCCAAATCATCAGTGGGTGAAGAGGTGTTTTAGATTCTTACTGTATGAATGCATAGAAGCAACCTAATTCTTAACTCTGAAGACTCTTAACAAGAAGATGCAGTATTTGTTCTACCTCAGACTTTGAAATGATTCTCAATGAAAATTTATTGTGCAGGTGAGTTTTTAGGCTTGAATTCCTCAAATTTGTTTCCAGTTGTATCAGATTTTGTAACTTATTTCAAAGCATCCTATTCAGAGACAGAATACAATCCTTACCAACAGCTTCACATCATCCAAATACATGAACTTTCAGTCATCAACCTTGCTGCAAGCTTTGTAGTTACCTCTTCACTCAACATCTTGCAGGGAGAACAGGAAGGGAAGGGAGTTATGTTTTACATGTACTTCTCTTGGCATTAGATCTTCCTAGGACATTGTAGCAACTACAAAAGCACACCCAGCTTCAGTTTTTTTAAAAAACAGCATATCTGAAAATTGTCAAATTGATGGATAACTAAAAAAGTTGTTATTCCTTCCTAAATACTCTGGCCACTTGGTGATTGGGAACCATTTATATAGCCCTTCATCACTGAATAAAGGCAGGTTTCTTAGACTTTTTCCACAAGTATGCTTTATGTTATGACTGATTGTTCTTTAGCTAATTAGAAAAAAAAATCATAAGTGTAGCAATTTAATGCACTGTTTCATATATGAGAAAATACATTAATTAAATATTTTTATTATTTCAATTATTCCACTGAATTCCAAACCTGCAATTAACTGTATGAACTGTAACTGGCATTAAGTTTATTAAATGCAAAGTTGAAACTTTGTTTGAATACATGGTAAGTTTTCAGTTACTGGATTACTTATTCTGCAGTGTTTTATGGTTTCTTGTAATTACTGTGAATTGCACAAGTTTATATTTCTGCTGTTCATAAAAGGGATGACAGTGAACCAAATTAATGTCCTCAGTGGAAAACATTCTCACAAGCATACAATTTTCAGTCAGTATACACTGTACTAATTCAGCATTTTAATTACGTGACATTAATACTATACAATTTTCTAGGACTCGGTTATTTAGTCAAATATGCATTTAATTTGGCTTTTTTGGCTCTTAATCTCAGAGCTAAAATATACTTTGAGAAGTACTCATCTATAAAGAGAATTTGAGGTGCTAAAGCTGTACATAAAACAGGGAATGTCCTGTGCGTGATTCATATATGCTAAAATATTAAATAAAAAAAAAAAGACTACACCCAATGGATGGTACATTATTTTACTTCATTGAAATACACTGAATAAAATACACTTCACTGAAATAAAACTGAAAATCAAAAATAAACTTCTATATATTCAAACTTTAGAACTCAGAAATTATCATGTGTTATGGTGTGTGCTGAGAGTGCTAGCAGAGTACCAAGACACTTTCCACCATCTATCAGTGTTCCTGGTCAACCGGAGTGGTTTCAGGGGATTGGAGGCTTGCCAATGTGACTCCCATCTACATGAAGGATCATAAGGAGGATTTAGGGAATTATAGGCATGTCAGTTTGACCTTGATGGCATGGAAAGTTATGGACCAGATCATCTTGAGATCATAGAGTAGATGCAGGACAACTGGGGGATCAGGCCCTGCTGATCCTGCTTGACCAACATATTCTCCTCCCAGGACCTGCCTGGTGAATGAGGAAAAGGCTGTTGACGTAGTATGTGTAGACTTTAGCAAAACCTTTGACACTATTTTCCACAATATTCTCCTGGAGAAACTGGCAGCCTATGGTTTGGACAGGTAACCTCTTTGCTGGGTAAATAACTGGCTGTAGGGCCAAGCCCAGAGAGTGGTGGTGAATGGAGTTAAATCCAGCTGGCAACCAATCAAAATGCTGTTCTGCAGGGGTTAGTATTGGGGCCTGTCCTTTTTAATATCTACATTGATGACCTGGACAAGGGGATAGAGTGCCCCCTCAGTAAGTTTGCAGATGACATCAAGCTAGAAGGAAGTCTTGATCTGCCTGGGTATAGGGAGGCCCTTAAGAAGGATCTGGGTCTAGATTAATGAGCCAAGACCGATGGAACGAAGTTCAACATGACCAAGTGCTGTATCCTGCCCTTTAGTTACAAAAATCCCAGGCAACATTACAGGCTTGGGGCAGAGTAGCTAGAAGACTGTATGGAAGAAATGAACTTGGAGGCATTGGTCAGCATTCAGCTAAACATGAGCCAGCAGTGTACTTAGATGGCCAGGGAGGCCAGTGGCATCCTGGCCCCTGTACTCAGCTCTGGTGAGACTGCACCTTGTCTTTTTCAGCCCCTCACTACAAGAAAGGCATCAAGACCCTGGGGCATGTCCAGAGCCTGTCCAGAGCCGGGCAATGAAGCTGATGAGGAGTCTAGAGCACAGGTGTCATTAGGAACAGCTGAAGGAACTGGGATTGTTTAGTCTGGACAAGAGGACGCTCAGGGGAGACCTTATTGCTCTCTACAAGAAATGAGGTTGTGG